GCTGCCTGTCCTGCACTGTACCCCAGGGTGGCTCCCTTCCCCACATCCGCCTGTGTGTGAGCCCTTTATTTGGAAAGGGACACATTTCCAGCTTCAGGTGGGAGGCCGTGACGCCACATCCTCAGGCTGCCTGAGGCCCTAAGCCACGGCCCCCGAGGCAGGACAGGCCGGCCGTGTTGGGGTTCCCGTACTCCACTCACGCCTCGGCTCATGCCCACACTTCCCGTCCTGTGACTTCAGCGTCCTCATCCTGCACATGAGGACAGAAAGGCGCTGCACATTCAGCGCCGGCAGGACCTGCGCCAGCACTTGACTGCGGCCCTTTTGCAAACACAGGACAGTCACACTGTGACAAGGTGGCACCTAATGCTAAGACCGCAGTGTGTGCCAGTCACACCGCAGCTGAAACAACTTGGCGGCCTGGCTCAGGACGGCGCGGATGGGCCATTTACCTGTGACAGGTCACCTCGCTGTGCTCAGGGACAAGGGCAGGGACTGCCTAGTCTCGGGTTTTCTCAGCACCTCTGTCTACATGAAGCGAAAGCGCAGCAGAGGCCCAGGGTCTGTGGGTGAGGGGACTCGAGTGGCTGCAGGCCTGTCACCAGCTTGTCTGTCCACGTGGGCCCCGAGACAGCTGGCGGGGGGAGGGCTCTGACATCGGACACATGGGGCATTTAGCACAAGCCACACCTGACACTGCTCCAGGAGGCAGCCCCTCCCCCCTCACAGAGGGGACGCTCCCACACCTCCCACTCCGGTCCTGTCACTGCTGGTCAAAGCCTTTCCCTCCTGGACAAGTGATGAGAATGGTCTGCTGTGGTCTGACCGTCTGCCCCCCAAATTCATGTGCTGGAATCCTAGCCCTCCAGGAGGCAGTGTCAGGAGGCGGGGCCTTTGGGCAGTGATGAGGTCACAGGGGGAGCCCCACGAATGGGATCATTGCCCTCGCCCTGCCCACCATGTGAGGACACAACGAGAAGAGGGTCAGCCATCTGTGGACCAGTAAGTGACCCTCACTGAACACATCTGCCGGCGCCTGGGTCCTAGACTTCCAGCCTCCAGAACAGTGAGAAATCAGCGTTTGCCCTTCAAGCTGCCCAGGTCATGGTCATCTGTTCTAGCAGCCTGGACGGTCCAAGACACCNGTGCCTCTCCTCTTGATGTCTGGGGACTCGTAGCCGTCCTCCTCGTCGGAGTTGGCGTACTGCCCGCCCCTCTCCAGGAAGACGCTCCTTGTCTCTAACTTGGAAGGAAAAAGGAAAGACGCGGGTGAGCAGAGGCCGTCGGGAGGGGCGAGCAGACAGGCCGCTTGCCCCGGGCTACAGAGGGGAGGCCCCACGTCTTCTGGATTCAAACCTTTCCTTCACCCAGCCCCTCGGCCCGCCTCGGCCACTACACCAAGGGACTGGGTCAAGTCCCCAGACCAGCTCCCCTTCCTCTCCCTGCCCACGCGCAGCACAACTAGTTGCTGACTTGGCTGCAAGTACCCTGTGGATAGCGAGGAGAAGCCCGGCTCCCAATGTGATCACATGGCCGTTTCCTGACACATGAACCTCAGATGCTCCCTTCCTCTCCACACCTCCTGAAAGGGTGGGCCGGCCCGCAGCCAGCAGCCTCAGGCGTTCCTGGGCCATTCTCCACCCCAGCCCCTCTCGGGGTCCCGTCTGGGGATCTTAGGGTTGTAGGGTGCTTGGCTGCCGTCCGAAAGGGCAGGGGGCAGCGTCACCTGCCAGCCCATCCTGCCAATGGAGCTTCACCAACAGCTCCAAGCTGCGATGGCCGCCTGGGGCCAGGGCTTCTGCTGTGTGTGCCGTCAGAGCACAGGGAGAAGCCTGGATAGACACGCACGTTCTGAAGCTCTTCCTTTAGTCAGAGGCCACAGGCTGGCGTTTCAATGGCTTTTTAAGTAGTAGAGGCCAATACTGAACAAATTGAGCGGTTTCACAGAAAAGCCCCGTTTCCAGGTTTCAAGAAACCGAGACACCCATGCCCTGTGGGCAGCCCTCTTGCCTCCCAGGGTCCTGGGTGTTGCCGCTTCTCAGCTCTGATCTCTGGGGTTCCCCGACCCGGCGTCCAGTCCCTGGGATGCCCAGGAAGTGGGGGTCTCCCAGCACCAGCATTCAGAGACAGCCTCCAGGGTGGCGGGCAGTGCTGGGAGCACCGTGGACGGCCGCTGTCCCCACCAGGGCCCTGAGCACACAGCAGACACCTGGGCGCCCTGGGGGATGGGTGTTCCCAAGCCAGGCTTGTCCCAGGCAGCTCAGAGCTGGGTCCTAGGAGAGGACATGGAGGACTGGATGGCAGCCCCGTCTCTAGGCGTTGCAGAAACTCGCCCGTGTCATTGCAGCCAGGATGTGGCCCCACCACAACCCACATGCTCCCTGTCCCCGCGGCCATTCCCAGTAACAGGCGTGGAAATATATGTATCTCTGTTGTCTGTTATGTATCTCTGTATACACACACACACACAGCGAGAACACAGGGGTGAGCAGGCCCAGTGTGCCCCGCTCAGGAAGATGGGTCCCCACACCAACTTCCCGGAGTCACCTTCCGAACCCGGGACACAGACCGAAGCCTGCAGAGTCCCTGGTCCCAGCCGTTTCCTAAGCTAGCCCGGCAGGTAACCATTTCCCCTGGTTGTGGGTCCATGTTCTCAAAATGGAAACACATTTTGGTTCCATCAGGATCAGGTCTAAAAAGCTGCCCAGTGAGCAGGCTGGAGGAGCACACACAGGCTCGGGGGGCTGCTGGGTGGCTCCATCCCCACGGGGGGACCAGCCTACTTACCCTGCTGCTCTCCGCCACTCTCTGGGCAGCTTCCCGGGCCATGGCCTTGGCGACGGAGGTGGACACCGGGGTCCCCTG